TATCTATCTATCTATCTATCTATCTATCTATCTATCTATCTATCTATCTATCTATCTATCATCTATCTTATCTATCTATATTTCTATTTATCCATCCATCATCTAGCAGCACTACTAGATTCTGTAACAGCTTTGATCCCTATGCCATCAGGCCTGGTAAATTTGCAAGATTTGTTTTTCTCTCTATGTACATGAATACATCCGAACTAGGCTGTGTTGTTTCTCTGTGTCATATAATATATGTGGCTATATGCATAATTGTGTGTTTATTGATTTATATTTTTGTCATGTTCATGTGTAAGTGGGTGGTGACCCTTTGAAGAGCTGCATACAATGAAATTTCATTATAATGTGTGCCGCTGAGCGTACATTTAAAGTGACAATACAGTTATTCTAAGCCTAAGTGTAACCTGGCTTGCCCACTGACATTGCTGGTCGCGAAGATAACCTTTTTTTCAGTGATGTTCAAACAGTCACTAAATGAACTGTTGTAGCCCGAGGACTAGTATAGTTTTTTTTTCCCGCCTGCCTCCAAGCTCTACCCATCAATATCCCTGGAATGTACCTGGATGGTTGCAGGGCAGTCCAATTATGTTCCAGTTGGTCGTTTTTAACAGGAGTGGGATTCAGCCGGTTCGATAGTTCCAGTGAGTATTTAGCCACGCCTCTTGACTTTCCTGTCCTACATTTCCCTGTTTTTTAGCTCAGCTGATTCGCGTGGCACAGCATATTGCTGTGCATAGGCTGTTTTACTCACAGGCACTAACATAGTAGGTAAATTTTGAAGCCTAAAAACGTCGTGTCAGCTTGTAAAGCGTTTCCGTGACTATTATCAAGTTGGCATTGAAGGGAGGGAGAATTCCTTTGACCAGGGTCGGATCTCAGATTTCTACAGCAGGCGTGTGAGGCCCTAAAGTTTACAGCCTGCTGCAGCACCTCATTGGTGGATGTGATTTATGACACAGACTGAGGGGAGGGGAGACATAGGAGGTAACGTTCAAACACCATTAACCGGAAATCAGATTTTGCTTCCCAGCAGATGATGCTCCTAAATGTTGCTCCTAATAAATGACATGGATTTCTTTTGAACTTTGGTCTTGAGGCTTTATTAATTAGGGTATCTTTTTGAATCTTCACAGATTTAATGTTGCACAGAGTGCACGAAGCACTCACCGAACCAGCTGTTAAATTGGTTGCATCCCACCACTAGCTTTTAACCTTTTAGTTGTGGGAAGCCAGGCAGGAGGGCCATATTTCTCCAGCCTGATCACCCTGGGTAGACAATGGGCCCTATTCCCGTGAAAAGCATAATCCCAACTCAAACTTGCCAAGATTGCTTATGTGTTCATCTGCCAATCCAAAACCCAGCAGAGCGTGCTCCAAACTCCCCCACGCAGCTGACAAGACTCTGAGTCACTGGCCCCAACAATAACAAAGTGCAAAAAAAAAAAACAACAAAAGCATCCAAAGGGATGAATAGCGCATTCAGACCTCGAGCATGTACTAAATTGGCATGTACAAACAAGAAGGAGATTAGGAAATGTAAGGGACTTATTAAAATTAGAAAATAGGTTTCCAGGACATCTAAAGGATAACAGGACACGAAGACACAGCAGAGTGTAAAAAGACAACCAGGTGAAAGGGACCCAATGAGAAGTTCCTTCAAAAAGGTGGGGAAAAAGATGGAGTGAAAGGGAGTATCAGCCTAGAACAGGGATGTCCAACTCTGTTTTATTGAGGGCCACATCAGGGTTTTGCTTCACCTTGTGACACTGTGGTGGGTGTGGCCAGGGAGGGTGTGGCCAGCTTAATGACACTCGTGTCGGGGCGAGCGCCTGTTGAGGCCCGAGTGATCTGCCAGCGAAAACGGGCTCTCAAGCTCCGTTTTCACCTGCAATGGCCTCCTGCAACCCCCTGCCAGCAAAAACGGAGCTCTCGAGCTCTGTTTTCGCTGGCAGAGGCACCACGGTCTGATCCTTCTCTGTTTCCAGGGTGACCCCGCTGGGCAGATCTAAGCACCCCATGGGTGGGATCTGGCCCCTAGGCCTTGACCTTGACACCCATGGCCTAGCCACAAAGAAAGTTCAACGTCTCTTGAGTGCTGTTGACCCTTATCTAAATCTTAACAGATTAGTTGAGAAGATTCCTGTGTGTAGGCTTTTAGCAATGAAATTGTTTGATTGAACTTTCTCGTGCGGATCCTGTTCCTTTGCACACCTGAAGTTTCTACAACGTCATCAGCCTTTCCAAGGAATTTTACAAGAAATGGTAGGATAGGACTTCCTTCCTTTCCGCACTTCTGAAATTCCTGATTTACCTCGTGGGAAGACTCCTGGGTCCATAAACGTGGCCATACTGAAGTTTGCAAGCACAAACAGGAATACGAGCCCATTGTAGAGTGGAACAGCTGGGGAGATGGCTCTGGTCAACCACGGGCACCTGGACGAAAGAAGCACAACAACACGAGAACATTATTTGTCAAATGCAACAGCTGACACTTTCTCACCCACTTTCTTAGAGTGGCCAGCAGAGCCGGTGGCAGAGTCAAACAGGGAGGAGGTTGGGGAGGAACCTGGGCCAGTCCTGGAGTCTGGGGAAGGCTCAGATGAGGACTCTGTGTCAGAGGCAGAGAGGGGATCAGAGCCGTCTGACAGTTATCAGCTGCCTTCGGAGTCAGACATAAATGAAGCAGAAGAACAGCTGGAGCCTGTTCCCAGTATGTGCATGCGCAGTTGCCAGACGAAGGAAAACAGCTAAACAACAGGGGTTGACTTGGGAAAAAAGGCACAGGTGGATGGTAAATGGCCCCTCCCAAGGGGAATAAAGAGGACTGAAAGGGGACTGGAGTTTGCGGTAGACAATTTGTTCGCTTAATTAGTATGAAGATTTGTTTGTGACTCTCAGAGACTCCAAGTATTTTCTTGTACAGCCGTTGCGTTTGGAAGATATCGGCCTGGCAGCTCTCCAAGCCTGATAAGGTCTGTGGTTGTAAATTCACCCTTGAAAGACTGTTTGCCGGGACTTTNATCATCATCATCATCATCATCATCATCATCATCATGATAGATTCTCATAGCTTGAGAATTGATTGATAATCTTAACATGCTACCAAATAATTAAAAGCAGTAAAATTCAAATATGAATGTTACTTTCATCCAACTGCATCCCCATGAAGATGAAGATAACAAATTGAACTCAAACTCAACTATACAGTTTTCCTGACAATAGTAATGAAGTGATTTCCCACTGTTGTCCCCTTGGGATGTGTTTGGATTTATTGTTAGAACTTGAATGGAAGGAACTTGAATGGAAGCCTTCCTCCAAGTTCTAGTATTGTCATCAGGGGTGGTATCCACTTACCTTCCCTACCAGTTCACAAATGTGAGCGTATGCGCCACCTCCGTGCATGGGCTCAGCCTTCAGCGCATGTGCTTTTGGTGGAAAAAAAGGGCCTAAATGGGATACCATAGAGCCAGGATGTGTGGGTGTGGCCACCTGTGATTTCTGCTACCGGTTCAGGCAAACCGTTCCAAACCGGTAGAATACCATCTCTGATTGTCAGCCTTCCCAGGTAGAACAGACAGGGAACACGAAAGAGCTAATTCTACATTAACAGAATCTTGCAAACCTGAAAGTACACATATCTTGCAGTCTCCTTTAAACTCTGAGAAGCTAGGAATGGTCTCTTTTGAGTCTCTTGATCCACTCATTTTGCAGCTGTGGGCTATGCCTTCTCTTATCTGACTATTCCCTAGGCAGCATTTCTTCATCCATCTTTCAAAGTCTTTTCTCACATACTGTACAGGTGTTCCCTGGAGGGCTTCCATCTAGTTCTAACCAGATCCCTGCTTAGTTTCCAAGGCCAAGCAAAGTCAGAGGACA